GGTAAAATGTCTTCATAGAAAAATAAATAAATAAAGTTACAATTTCACTCCAAAGTTATGAGTTACTAACTTGCGGTATACTAGGGAATATATGCTCAGTCATCCCTCACATTGAGAAGAAAGCTGCTTTGGAGTTAGATTAGAAATCACTGCAGTTCCCAGCTAAAGTGGTAAGTAGAAAGCAGGGGGGTTAACAAATGAGTAGCATTTGAACCCACAAGCTAAATTTTTCTTTGTAGACAGAATTTAGACTTCTGTCTGAAAGACAACCTACTTTTCACCATATATTATTACCCTGGGGATGCTGAAGCATAGGGCAAAAAAGGTGATCCCAGGACACCCGATACAGAGGTGAAAGAAGGACTTACTCTTCCTGTGTCATCAGAACACAGGAGACAGAAGGCTGACCTAACACAAGTGATAAAATTAGTAAGGGGACTCACTCTCTTTTTCTGCTACACAGTAGTTTAAAAACTAAAATGGCTTAAAGCTATTCTTCCACTGTCACCATTAAAAATGTTGATTTAGAAGAACAGCTAAGGTTATAAGCAGACTCAATGACTTTAACAGGACAGCTTAAAGCGCATATATCCTCTCCTGGGTAGCAGCTGTAACTCTGGCCTCTCAGAAGGCTCTCACAAGGGAGGCCTTTACAAAGGCCTTTCTAAACTCTACAGCTTACTTTCCCCATTTATGTCAGGTTTTGGTCAGGCCCAGCTCAAGATAGATGATCATCAAAATCTCTCACCAGTTGTGAGAAGCAGCTGAGGAAACAAAGTGTTATTCCAAGATGAATGTATTTTAATGCATTTTAAGAATTTCTGATAACATTACCTACTGCTGCTGTACCAGAATCATTTTTCAAACAGACTGTGAACTATTTGAACAACCTACCAACTCCATGTGTCCCACAGAGGTCTCCCATCACTATTATGTTGGTTTGGTTCTTTTTAGCAAGTAACACTTATTAAGGTTAATTACTAATTTAACTTAAAATGACAAGAGACATCACAGAAAAACTAGATAATTCCTGGATGTACACATCCACCTTCACATTAAGTCCTCCCTGCCTAACTTCTCTTTCCACTGTGGAGAAGACACCCAGCAGGGAAGTACAGAGGTGACTGCTCTCAGTTCACTGACAAGGGACCTAGACTTTCACTCATTCATTTCATTCATTCTTTACCTCCACTGAAGTCAACGGAGTGAACAAATGCATGATCCTGTTTCTGCAAATTACTGTGTTGTCTCTAAGGGAAGTCTAAAGGCATAGGGGAGACACGCAGCTATTTTGAAACCGAAAAGACTGAATACAGATATGTCTTACTGTGGCAAATTCATTCATATGTTCAATTCACGTACACAGGGGATTATAGTATCTCATTATAGCATTGGAAGTCTTTGCAGAGTAAGGGGAGATGTTTCAGCATCCCAGCACCTGAAGATGGAGGCTTCAAGTTTGAGATGTTGAGTCTGCATAAGCAGTTATTCTGCAGCCAGAAAGAATCTTTAAAGATCTCATATATAAACCAGAATAAAAAATAGTTATAGTATTGTTATTTTTCAGTGAGACTAGGGGGAAAGAAGTGCCACTATACAATTTGGGATTAACCAAACTTCTGTGGAAATTTTTTGTCTGCAAATTAGGTATTTGAAAATTATTTGCTTTGTTTTGTCTACCGTTGTCCAAACATTTCCAATTATGGAAAATTATTTTTTTAAAATTAAACCAGAATTTTATATCACTATATGGCAGGCTTAAAGCAAGACTTTGCTGATACACAGCACCTGCTGGACTGACTTACGATGTTTGTTTTGTGTAAATCAGCAACTACCTGTCTGGTGGTATCAACTATCACTAATTAAACACATGCACATCATGCTATAATCTACAGTGCAAAGCAAAGTCTTTGTGTCTTAATATGCAGTTATTCTGTGCCACAATCCTTGTTTAATAAAGATATTTTCTAATGCTTTCCCTCTCAAACTTCAATATAAGCTCCAAATGTGATGTTATCTTTCATTTTCCACATCAAAATAATGTATAAACTTCATTTTCCAACTCACATTTCTAAGCTTCCCATTTCAGCAGCTACCTCACTCCAGATCTCACAGCTCCCCCCTGCCCATCAATCTCTGATTTGGGGCCCTCTCACATGTCTTTTGAAATATCCAACTCTTCCATGTCTACCAACGCTCCTTTATCAATTACAGCCTTAGTATCTTCAAAGAAACCTCGCAGGTCACTTCAGCGTGGCCTCTCCACCTGAGTCCATGAAAACTATCTTTAAACTAGCTGTCTGTTTTTTAACATATACTTTCAGATGACTTCTAAGGTCCTGTACCAACCTCCTGCAGATGCACAGACAAGAAGGGAAACTGAAGCGACAGAAGCTGCAAGATGTCCCTTTTATCCCCACAGTCACCTTAGATCTCAACACTGAAATTCCTAAAGAGGAATCGCTGATGTAGGGTAAGGTAACATGGAAGGCAGGAGCTAATGAGCTGGGAAAGAGCCTCTACAGTTGTGGATGTGACCAGAAGGACACACTGGTCTGGGATTCACAGGTCCTTAAACCTTGTTCTTGGGTCACCTACCTTCCTCAGCCTCCGTAACTCTCAGAAACTACCTTATGGTGCTTTCCCATTGATCCCCAGATCTATTATTATCAAAAGTAGTGACTTACTATGATTATAAAATAATTGCCACCTGTATTATTTCAGTCAATGAGTCATCATCCTCTTTTCTTTTCTTAATGCCAGGCTTGGGTTCACAGACCTGCCCTCTTCTCCCTTTGTGCCCTCTGTCTGGCAATTCTTAAGGATTTTAGATAGTATTTCTGTACTCGCGATTCTCAGATTTCTCCCTCTGTCATCAACCTTTCTCCCTCTGTTCAATCCCAATGCTCAAGTGGCTGTCTGGCACCTCTTCCTGGAGATTTTGTCATCAGTTTGTGCTAGCTGAAGTGCAGGGTTGCCTTGGTTTAGCCTCACTTTCCCTTTTCTCTTTCACTGGTGATAGCAGTAACGTACTCCCCTTTTCCACTATCTTCCCTCCCTTTTCCCACAAGTCACACAAAAACAGCACCCAGCTCTTGGGCCTTCCTTCAGCCCCACCAGCTTCAAGACCAATCTTACCATTTTCGCAGACAAATCTGATGTTTAGGCCTGTTTAGTATATCCTACCACAACTATTGCAAAGTTCTCTTCTCTGCATCCCAAACATAAGCAATGCACCTTTGCCCCCCAAGGAAGCTGTGCATGGCCAAACACCTCCTCTCACAAACCTGACCACACCACTCGCTCCTTGGCAGCCTTCCCCTTGTTCTTCACCTGCTGTTCCAGCACATCCAGATCTTTGTCCTCCTTCAAGGCTCAACCTAACTGCATTCCCCCAGTCTACCCTCTTCTGTTGAGCGCCGTGTTGTCTCTACCACTTCTGCAGTCTGGCAGTGTTTCTCAACCATGTACCTTTCAATCATATGTTTCTCCACCTCATGCACTTACCATGACGTGACCTCCCATGACTCATCCACAATGGCTCAGCTTTCCAGGCTCTCTCATAAGCCCACTCCTCTTGAATTGCTGGCAGCAAATGAAACAAAATACAGAACATGTCTACATACCTCTGCTACTTCCCCTCCACTCAACCATCACCCCGCTTCCCTTCTTCAAGCTCCTCCCAGGGCAGGAACTGTTCTTTTTGTAGACGTGAAACTTCGCTTTGCAAATTAACGAGAATGAAAAAGAATAAACAACACAAACTCAAATTGCAGCCTCCTACAATCCAGGCTTTAGCGAAGAACCAAGTGAACAGTAGAAAAATAGAAGAAAAGATGGAGAAACGGAGCACGTGTGTGGGACCGGGTAAAAGTGCGATGCAGCGGGACGTGCAAACCCCGGGCATCCCTGCTCATGATGTGAGAAATTTATGCCTGGGGAAATCTTGGATTTTGCCTCTTTGCCCTTCAGTGAGTCCAGTCCACGAAGGACGAGAAGAGCCATGAGTTACTTCAATGGCGCTAGAGAGGGTCACTCGGGGCCGAGTGTGGGGCAGCACCAGAAACCCCAACGTTTCCCGAAGGGGATGCTCAGTGCGACCACGGCGCCGCTGAGAGACAGGCCGGTTACTCGCCACGCGAGCGAAGGAGGAGGGCGCTCTTCCTCCAGCCGGGAGTACTCCTGTCCCGGTCTCGGTACGCAAGAACGCGGCGTGGCGGGCGAGGGACCGAGGGGGTCGGGGCGGCGGGAGCCGGGG